ACCATTTTCTTTTGTCTTCTCTTTCTGATTAAATGCTGGAGTTGCTAGACTGATTAATTTTCTTATTTTTTCTTTCCTATTGTCCATTTATTTCTTTTCTATTTTTTTCTGAGAGTTTATTGATTCTTTAACTTCCTATCATTTTATTGGATTTATTGCAGATCTAGAATTTCCCCAGTTCATTTTTTCCTTTGAATAAACTTTTTACTCCTGCTGGTATTGGGAAAATGGTAGTCAGTCACCCGGGCAATATGCGTGGACAGAGACACTAGGGCCTACTGTTCCTTAAACAATGCATTGACCAATCACTATTGCCTGCCTTTGATGGTACCTGGTACCTGAAACTCCTGAACACTTCCTGAGATTGCAGCATGAGCTGGCTTGCTTTACTCTGCTGTCTTTCACTGTAGGGACTTCGTAGTCAGCCATCACGGCTTTGTTAACCCCTTTATCCACTGTCTGTCTTCCAAAATATTTATTAACGTCTCTCAGACACTGTTGTACTCATGACCCTTTTCTTTAACCTTGTAGTTTTAGACATTTTAAAATTCATTTACTGTCATTTTAGTAGCATTTCAGAAATGCAATGTGCTCAATTTTCTTTTTTTTTTAATTATTTTTTTATTCTTATATTAATCCCCATACATTACATCATTAGTTTTAGATGAAGTGTTCCATGATTCATTGTTTGTGCATAACACCCAGCGCTCCATGCAGAATGTGCCCTCCTCAATACCCACCACCAGGCTAACCCATCCTCCCACCCTCCTCCCCTCTAGAACCCTCAGTTTGTTTTTCAGAGTCCATCGTCTCTCATGGTTTGTCTACCCCTCTGATTTCCCCCGCTTCATTCTTCCCCTCCTGCTACCTTCTTCTTCTTCTTTTTTTTTTCTTAACATATATTGCATTATTTGTTTCAGAGGTACAGATCTGAGATTCAACAGTCTTGCACAATTCACAGCGCTTACCAGAGCACATACCTTCCCCAGTGTCTATCACCCAGTCACCCCATCCCTCCCACCCCACCCCCCACTCCAGCAACCCTCAGTTTGTTTCCTGCGATTAAGAATTCCTCATATCAGTGAGATCATATGATACATGTATTTCTCTGATTGACTTATTTCACTCAACATAATACCCTCCAGTTCCATCCACGTCGTTGCAAATGGCAAGATCTCATTCCTTTTGATGGCTGCATAATATTTCATTTTATATATATACCACATCTTCTTTATCCATTCATCTGTTGATGGACATCTTGGCTCTTTCCACAGTTTGGCTATTGTGGACATTGCTGCTATAAACATCGGGGTGCACATACCCTTTCGGATCCCTACTTTTGTATCTTTGGGGTAAATACCCAGTAGTGCAATTGCTGGATCATGTGGTAGCTCTATTTTCAACTTTTTGAGGAACCTCCATACAGTTTTCCAGAGTGGCTGCACCAGCTCGCATTCCCACCAACAGTGTAGGAGGGTTCCCCTTTCTCCGCATCCCCACCAACATCTGTCGTTTCCTGACTTGTTAATTTTAGCCATTCTGAATGGTGTGAGGTGGTATCTCATTGAGGTTTTGATTTGGATTTTCCCGATGCCGAGCGATATTGAGCACTTTTTCATGTGTCTGTTGGCCATTTGGATGTCTTCTTTGGGAAAATGTCTGTTCATGTCTTCTGCCCATTTCTTGATTGGATTCTTTGTTCTTTGGGTGTTGAGTTTGATGAGTTCTTTATAGATTTTGGATACTAGCCCTTTATCCGATATGTCATTTGCAAATATCTTCTCCTATTCTGTCGGTTGTCTTTTGGTCTTGTTGACTGTTTCCTTTGCTTTGCAAAAGCTTTTAACTTGATGAAATCCCAATAGTTCATTTTTGCCCTTGCCTCCCTTGCCTTTGGCGATGTTTCTAGGAAGAAGTTGCTTTGGCTGAGGTCAAAGAGGTTGCTGCCTGTGTTCTCCTTTAGGATTTTGATGGACTCCTGTCTCACATTGAGGTCTTTCAACCATTTTGAGTCTATTTTTGTGTGTGGTGTAAGGAAATGGTCCAGTTTCATTCTTCTGCATGTGGCTGTCCAATTTTCCCAACACCATTTGTTGAAGAGACTGTCTTTATTCCATTGGACATTCTTTCCTGCTTTGTCAAAGATGAGTTGACCATAGAGTTGAGGGTCCATTTCTGGGCTCTCTATTCTGTTCCATTGATTTCTGTGTCTGTTTTTGTGCCAGTACCATGCTGTCTTGATGATGACAGCTTTGTAATAGAGCTGGAAGTCCGGGATTGTGATGCCGCCAGCTTTGCTTTTCTTTTTCAACATTCCTCTGGCTATGCGGGGTCTTTTCTGGTTCCATACAAATTTTAGGATTCTTTGTTCCATTTCTTTGAAAAAAGTGGATGGTATTTTGATGAGGATTGCATTGAATGTGTAGATTGCTCTAGGTAGCATTGACATCTTCACAATATTTGTTCTTCCAATCCATGAGCATGGAACGTTTTTCCATTTCTTTGTGTCTTCCTCAATTTCTTTCATGAGTATTTTATAGTTTTCTGAGTAAAGATCCTTTGTCTCTTTGGTTAGATTTATTCCTAGGTATCTTATGGTTTTGGGTGCAATTGTAAATGGGATCGACTCCTTAATTTCTCTTTCTTCGGTCTTGTTGTTGGTGTATAGGAATGCCACTGACTTCTGTGCATTGATTTTCTATCCTGCCACTTTACTGAATTCCTGTATGAGTTCTAGCAGTTTTGGGGTGGAGTCTTTTGGGTTTTCCACATAAAGTATCATATCATCTGGAATGTGCTCAATTTTCTATATTTAAGTAAAACCACTGACTATTCTTTACTAAAGATTTGGCCAAGTTTTCCGATTACTGGCATCTGGAGGAAAAGTCTCAGTCTGAGTTCTGATTCTGGACCTCCCCCTTCCTCCATCCTTAACTCCCTCTCTCCTTTTCCTTTTTTTTTTTTCTTCTCTCTCTCCTTTATTATTTTTTCTTCACCTCACCTTCTGTCTTGACCTGTAGACAGGGTCTCAGCCAGTCCACACTATTTGGCTTCAGAATCTTTAGGCTCCACCTAGGTTTTTCTTAATTTCTTATTATCACAGAATTATTGCTTGCTCTTTTATTATGAAATACTGTATTTTACTGCTGCTTCTGTGGGATCTCATTCTTTAAATCCTTCTGTGATGGTGATGATGATGATGATGATGATGGTGGTGGTTGGTGGTGGTGACGACAGGGACAAGGATAAATATATTGAGCTCTTAGCATGTACCAAGCCATAAGTTAAGCATGTTACATAGATTATCTCCTTTAATTGCCCCTTTGGGCTAGTTAATATTTATTTTCTCATAGATAATACAATTAAAGCTTATGGAGTTTTAATAGCCTGTCCAAGAAAATATAGCTGGTGAGTTGTAAACCTGGGTTTTAAGCAATTATTTTCTGCCATCAAAGATCAGACTTTTACCCACTACACTACACCACTACACTACGTCTTCTTGATGGCAAATGGTATTACACAGGACACTGATCGGGCACGTACTGCATGAAGCACTGGGTGTTATATGCAAACAATGAATCATGGAACACTACATCAAAAACTAATGATGTACTGTATGGTGACTGACATAACATAAAAAAACAAAACATTATTTTGAACCATTAGATTTCCACTCACTGTCAGGAGCATATCCTAACAATGAAAGCCATACCTAAATGATATTGAGAACGGTCTTCTGGAAATAGCTGCATAGAGGTTAGATGATCCCATGTGGGGAATGTGGCAGGAATTCCTGCATTGGATGGAGCATGGACTTCAAAGTCCCTTTAACTCTTCAAGTCTATGATTCTGACTGTTCTGCTATTAATTCTCCTCCTATTTCCTAGAAACTTTCTTCTAGATTGATCAACACAACTAGTACCTTGTTCCTTTACCTGATTTCATTCTCTGTGATGGTGTATCAATGGAAAGTATGAAAAAACTATACCCTCAGGCATATTTTAGCATTTAATATTAAAAATAATAATAGTTATTATCTACTGAATGCTTCCTATGTCCAGATATTATGCTAAGGATTGTATAAACATCATTTCACTTAATCCTCAGATTAAGAATACTTAAACCATTCTTATTTTGGTTGACTTAGTCTACTCGAGCTGCCATCACAAAATATCATAGGCTGTGTGGCATAAAAAACAGATACTGATTTCTCACAGTTTTGGAGGCTGGAAAGTCCAAGATCAAAGACTGGCAGAGTTTGGTTTCTAATGAGGGCCACCTTCCTGGATTGCAGATAACCACCTTCTTACTGTGTCCTCCCTCACATAGTGGAGAAAGAAAGATCACTGTCTCTTCCTTTTCTTATAAGACTACCAATCCTATTGGATTAGGACCCCAGTTTTATGACCTCACTTAATCTTAATTACCTCTTAAAAGCCCTATTATCCCCAAATGAGGTCACATCTGGGGTTAGCCTTTCAACATATGAATCTTGGGGAGATTCAGTTCAACCCATAAGAGTGGTAGACAACATTTAGGTTGGCTTTAATGGAAGTATGATGCTGTTTATGTTATTAAGACCTGAAAATGTTTGAGCTGGGAGGAGAGCATCTTTCTAGTATTTTCTAGACATCCTCTCTTCCCCATGAAGAGGATGGACAGATTACCTGTTATACAATAGGATGGTCTCAACATTTGGCAAGAAGGGCCAACTGTCTTGTTGCTTCTCAAACAGTAGGAAGAGTTCAGTTTCTTCGGGTTTGAAGAAACCAGACCCTTTGTGGGGGGGACCTTTCATCATCCTGTTAAAAAACCTCACGTTGTCTTAAAGAGAAAAGTAGTCTTTTTAGTGTCCCTCTCTCAGTCCTTAGAGCAGAGATGACTTTAGTGTCAAAAAGCCTTATTTATTTATTTATTTATTTATTTATTTTTCTCCTTCAGTCTGTAGAACTAACTCTGTCCTCCAGAGGCTTTTGATGACTGGTCCATTTCTTTCCCAGGAAGCTAAAGAAACTATTTCGAAAGCTGAAAGATGAGACAGAACCTGGAGAAACTGACTCTACCCACTCAAGGCATCCAGAGCAGTGGGACCTAGACTACAGCTTGGAGCCATACACTGGACTGACTCCAGAGTACATGGAGATGAGTAAGATCACATGATCTTTCCTTCCACCTGGGGGGGGTTCACACGGGTGGTCTGCATGGAGGGCAAGGAAAGGGGCTAGGGAAATGACAGGGGCAGTCTCTGCATCTTCTTGGGCTTCATGGCTACACAGTGTCACCTTCAGTGCCACATGGAAGTGAGGAGGGTAGGGCAGAAGGAACCCTGGAATGAGAACCAGGAGCAACTCTATTACCACCTTGACACTAGGGTGATACACTCTTCTTTTTGGCCTTCCTCTCATCTATGAAATGAGAAGTTTGGTCGCTCAGGCCCCTTTCCATAGTTTCTGTCATTGATAAAAGGGAAATAGTGAAAGGGAAATTTAAGAATGAAAGTTCCATTAAGGAAGAGTAAAGTAATCCTAGGACACTCAGGCCAAGGATACTTATATCTTTGACTTGGAGAATATAGGAGAGTCCACCACTCTACTCAGGTGGGGCTGGGTAAAGTGTCAGCTTTTCTCTTAAAAAGTTGGGTTGTTTTGTGTAGGGGTTGAGAGGTAGATTTCTAGTTACAGAACCTCTTGCTATTCTTGGCTAGGGCTGGAAAGCAAGCGTGCATGTGGTATAAGTTGGTGGAACACAGTCATTTCACATGTGGTTTAAAAGCCATGAGTTCTCCATTATATGTGTACTAATTTAGATTAGCCACCTTCAAGCTCTTGGTTGCTTGTGACTAATCCTGACCTTTTATTGGGGTGGATATTTGAGAAGCTTATTCACAAGATTTGGAACTAATGAATTAAAAACATAGGACCAAGAAGTCAGCCACATCATCTCAACATTTACTCAATCTAGAATGTGTGGAGAATCATCAATCAGATCCATCAGAAGAATCACTTGGTAATTTGTCATTGGACCTATCATTGTGTTTGCATGATAGCTCCTTCCTCCTTTGGTTCATCACTTGTAATAGGGGGCTCCTGATGCCTCTCTGTGCACCAGGTCCCAAGCTTGTTATTTCTCATGGATATTTCTCCTCTTCTGTTTATACGAATATGTGTATGTTAAGGGTAGAGGGATGGACAGGGTCTAGAGTAGATGGCTATAAAAGGTCTGTTCTAGTTCTGGGGTTCTAAAATTCCAGGTAAAATCTGTACTTTGTAATCTAAATAAACTCACCAGAGGAACAATCCTTATATCTGCTTCAGGAACGATAGGCTAGGACCCAGTTAAGGTAAACATGTAGCTCCTTATGCTTTTTATCTTTATCTAAGTGCTACTGACCACTGATCCCTCTCTGGCACTGAACCAGGTATTTACACAGAGGTGATCGTGCATACTCCGGATGCCACTCCTCTGTGTCTGCCATCCTGTCAGACAGAAATTGCTGCCAGCAGTTGAGGTTTCTGCTGAGGAAGTGGCTTATGTTAAAAATCCCTGGGCTCTGTCTCACAACCCCCAGCCCTCCAACCCCAGTCCCCCTCCCTGACCACTGAGGTATCCATGTAGGTTTTTCTGGCCTGCCTGCCTGTCTGTCCAGATAGCTGGCTATTCCAAACTTCCTCTTTTGAGGCCTTAAGAGCAGAGACACTAGAGCTTTACCCCCTGGGTTCAAATCCTGGCTTTGTGACCAACTATTTGGACAGCTTTGGGTAAGTGGCTAACTTTTATGTGTCTCAATTTGCTTTAGCTGTAAATAAATACATAAATAAAATAATAATTAATGATAATAATATCTACCTCATGGGATTGTTGTATTTAATGAATTAGTATCTGCAAAGTGCTTAGAAGAATGTCTAGCACATAAAAAAGCTGTGTTGTCAAGTATTGCTGTTTCTCTTAATGGTCTTGAGGCACCAGGAAAGCAGAGTGTAGGGATATATGTGTACTTTGTCAGCCACCATATCACTGGATGGACATCCACTATGTGTAAGACTTGAGCACTTTACAAAGTAATGAGAAGAGGAAAAAAAAAACCCCAAGAACCAGATTTAGTGGCTTCTGGAAGACGTTCATACCCCGATTTTGTAGAGAGTGAAATTCATTCTGTAGCTTAAACAAAACGCACACACACAAAACTCTTTACAGACTATAAGGGAACAAATCAACCATGTAACAGGAAGTTTGAAAATAGAGAAAAGAGGGGAGCAGATCTCCCAAACTTACCTCATTTCAGCCCATTTTTAATTAGCATCTTGGCACCATTTCTTCTTAGACCCTTTTTGTTATGTATATGATTTAAAAATAAAGTTGTAATCATATGCACACATTTGTTGCTCTTTTTTCAGTTAGTATTTCCAAGTTGTCATATAATATTCAAAACTAAGAGCTGCATGATAAATGATCCCTCCAATAAATGTACCATAGTTTATTTGCTGATTTTTCCAATGAAGAATATTGGAGGCTCATTTTTGAATTCTTCCCCAATTTACTGATCTAATATATATTATCTTCATATTGACTCCTCAAGGTAGAGTCCTACAGATGTGATTACTAGATCAAAGATATGGCCATTGTAAAGTTCTCAATTTATTTTACCAGATTGCTTTCTAAAAGGATTAGACCGATTCACCAAGCCCCAGGCGATGTACAAAATACTCTTCCAGTGAATACAAATTATTTAGTATCCTGAAGTAATGTGATCTGAAGGAATTATTAGTGTACAGTAAGCTTGGGATTCTCAGCCTGTGGCCACCTCATTCCACCTTGTTGATTTGAATATTCCCAGACTCATCCTTTAAGACTTAGCTTTTCAGTGTTTCCACTGTGATGTCCTCCTAGACCAAGCCCCATTCCTCCTGGGAGGAATTGCTAATTATTTGCGTTTCTGTCCCATCATTGCATATGGTACACACACTGATAGTGTATCTTACAGAATTATGGTAATATTGCTCACATATCTGTTCTTCTGCAGACCTAGTCTATCAGAGTCTAGTGTGTAGGAATCATGGTTTATTCATTTCCATGTCCTCTATAACCCAGCACATTTCCTGGTACATAATAGATATTCACTGTGTCTGATAAACAAATGAGTAAATGAATGATTTATTAATTAATGAGGGAAGGTTTCTTAACAGAAATAAGTGTTTAATAACAACTTTATGTGGCAAATGAAGGATCATCTTCAAAGTGGGGCTTGGTTGATGGTGGGTCAAGGATGTTTTGAAGAGATTTCCAGCTGTAGGTAGAAGGTTGGACTTGATCTCCAAGGTCACTTCTGGTTTTGAGGGTCTACATACTAATTAATGATAAGAATAAGGGAGAGCATTCCAAGGAAAAGGACTCACAAGGTCAAAGAGTCTCCTGGCCACAAGTAAGTGTTGCCAAAGCAAATGGTGGATTTTGGGTAGGGAGGGTTTGGATGAAGATCTGGTAGGTTAATGGTGGGCCCTGAAGATCAGACAAGTTTGTGTTTCGTATCAGGCCATTAGGAGCAATTGTAAAATCTCGGCCAGTGTTTCCCTTTAGGAAATAGGCAGCAAGTACAGAGAGGAGGTAGTAAGACAAAGGAAGGAAGAAGAAACAGAGATGGACTCATTCACTTATTCTTTCATTCATCAAACACTTACTAAGCACATAAGGGGAGGAACAAGTTTGGAGACCAGGACAGAGTCAACAGTTCAGAATGATATTGATTCAGTCAACAATTCAATTGATACTGATTCAGTCTTCTGTGGAGGAGGAAGCCTGAATCACACATGGGTGTTCCCAGCTGGGTTCCACAGAAACTCACTCCCAGAATTCTTTAGGCCATTTTGCTAAGCTATCAGTCGTTTCGGAGACATGACTACTTTATTTCATATTTTATATAAGTGCAAGGACAATGTTTCTGAGTTAGATTCCTTTCATTCCTTTTGTCCTGGAATATCCTCTTCACCTTGGAAGGGAATATTTGCTCCCATGTACAAAGTCTGGGCTGCAGACTAAACTTTGCCAAATATTACTCCATCTAGTAGTGTAGGCTAAGTGAGCGTTAGGGTAGGCTCTGGAGTCCAACCACCAGGCTTCTAGTCCCCAGCCTGCATCAGCTAGTGACATGACTCTGGGCTTGATGCATAAAGTCAGCCAGGCTCAATTTCCTCATCTAGAAAATAGACTTGACGATAATAGCACCTACCTTATGGAATGGTTTCGAGAAGTAGGTCATGGATATAGAGTAGTTAAAAACCAGTGCTAGGTACATGTAAGCTCTCCATGAATATGAACTGCCACTGTTCTCATCAAGAGTCCAATCTCTTTCCCTTTAATCTAGGAATTGACTGAAAACAGTTTGAAGCCTAGGGTGCCTGGTTGGCTCAGTCGGTTAAGCGTCTGACTCTTGGTTTCCACTCAGATTGTGATGTCAGGGTCGTGAGATTGAGCCCTGCATCAGGCTCCATGCTCAGCAGAGGGTCAGCTTGAGATTCCCTCTCTCTCTCCTTGCCCCTTCCGTCCCCGCCCCTGCTCACTCATGCATGCACTCTCTCTCTCAAGGAAAGAATGAACGAAAGAAATGAAGAAAAAGAAAGAAAGAAGAAAGAAAGAAAAATAAGAGAAAAGAAAGAAAAGAATAAATAAATAAAATCTTTAAAAAAACAACAACAACAGTCTGAAGCCATCAGTGTAGCGAGCCCTGGAGTTTCTTCCCAACCCATGAGTGTAGGGTTGGGCAGTAATGTTGATAGATGGAGGGTACCAGACTCCAAAGCAAATCTAAGAATCCCACTCAGAAGCCTTAAATGTAAACACTTAAAGATGTTTGTCTTTTCAGAGAACTCTAAGCCCTTAGGGCTCTACTTGTCAAGTCTGGCATCTCAAATGGGCTCTTTTTGTCATCTGTTTATCTAAAACCCACAAACTTTTGTTCCTCCAGTCATCTAAAAAATAATCACTATTGTCTTCCTGCTTCAGGAATTCAATTATCCCCCTTCAAGCCTTCCTCCAGCTTCTTGAATACAGCCCAAGTTTTGAGGCCCTTAATGTGGGTGATAAGACAAATTTCTTCTGTCATTCACATAATCATTAGAGGAAATCTCATTTTTCTTGGTCATGAGTTTACAT